ATGAAAACTAAAAAATTAGACTCCATTTAGACATGTATTTTTAGATTGTTATTTTCTCCAATTTATGGGGGAGCAATGATGTTATATCTAGGCCTCAGTCTCTACTTTGAAATGCAATAATACTTGTGAAAATTACATTTTTCTTTTTTAAAAGATTTCCTTTAAAAATAAAATATCTAAGGCTGGGCGCGGTGGCTCACACCTGTAATCCTAGCACTCTGGGAGGCCGAGGCGGGCAGATTGCTCAAGGTCAAGAGTTCAAAACCAGCCTGAGCGAGACCCCGTCTCTACTATAAAAAAATAGAAAGAAATTAATTGGCCAACTAATATATATAGAAAAAACTAGCCGGGCATGGTAGCACATGCCTGTAGTCCCAGCTACTTGGGAGGTTGAGGCAGGAGGATTGCTTGAGTCCAGAGTTTGAGGTTGCTGTGAGCTAGGCTGACGCCATGGCACTCACTCTAGCCTGGGCAGCACAGGGAGACTCTGTCTCAAAATAAATAAATAAAATAAAATATCGGATTTGAAAAGAATTAGCTATATAATAGAACCATAAACAAACTTTAATGAGCATTTGCTTTAACAACCTAAGTTGGGTCTTAGTAATAGCATCCATTATTTGATATTGACCAATAACCACTAACAACTTTCTCTTGCATGCCCAGTACAATGAAGGACACCTCTCATGTATACCCTCTTTTCATCTCCACCTCCACTATTGCAATAATTTCCTAACAAGTCTCTCTGATCATTAACCAGCTTCCATCACTACAATAGTAACCACTAAATCAAAATATACTGAGTGCCTATTTTGTGCCAGGCACTAAGGATACAGTGATGAAAATCAGACACAGCTCCAGCTTTCAGGGAGTTCAGTCTGGTCCAGGAGAGAGAAAAACCAAATCATATAATTTCAGGCAATAAAAGTGCTATGAAATGTAAGCACATCAGTAAGAGGCAAACTATTGCAGAGAGAAGTCAGGCAAGGCCTCTCTCAGATGAATGACCCTTGACATATGACAGGTACCCCTCCGCCCTCACTGTATCTTTCCAAGGTTTTTTTCTTTTTATACTGTGTAAGTCCATATAACGGCTTGTCTCACGGAAGGGAGAACACCGGAATAGGTTAGACTTTCTTGCTATAGCAAGCTCAAATTCTGAGAGACAGTTTTGATTATCTGCCACAGAGTGTTGCTTACAGTAAGAATGTGTTATTGGAAAAGTCATAGTAATGTACATCCAGAGGCTGCATCTACAACCAGTAAATGTTTCATAATCCATAAGAAGTGACTCCAGTGGTAAGGCATAAAAATGAAGAAGTGAGACAAACAGTGAAAAGAGAAAATGAATTTTTACTTCTTTTGGCAGAGTAACATGGTTTGTGTTAATACTGTAGAACCAGAGAAAGTCATACTGAAGGGAAGTGAGTATTCATTCAGATACTCAGCAAAAACCCTATTCTTCCAGGTTTTTCCAGACCCTGGCCCCAAACCTTTGAACACACATTTCTGATTCTGTCACTCCCTTCAATTCAATAGCTCTCCAGTTAATCTGGCTGAAATGAGACCTCCCAGTGTGGTAACAAACCACTTTACCATTCATATTCCTCAGGGTCTCCCCACATGTCCTCAGATTTCCAAGAAAACCAAGCACTCTGGTGAATCCTCTTCCCTCTGCCTAGATTCCCTCCCCACTAAATCTCTCACTCTACCTACCTTCAAAGTCCACCTCAAATACCAACTCCTAGAACAATGACATGAATCTGATTTCCTCGGAGAAGTGATATATCTCCTCCTTCAAACTCCCTTTCCAGTCTTAAAACACCTGATGTTTAATTATAACTATTTTTTGTTGTTCTCTAACTCCATATGACAGGTTACGTGGTTGAAGAAACAGGCTTATTCATTTTTTTTATCTCTTATGTTTCTCAGAGTACACACTCTTTATTCATGTTTATTAAATATGTAGAAGACTCAAAGAGATCTACCACTTGGCTGAGGAACAAAATTCAAGATGGCATAAAATCCAACTTGGTCTGGTTCTAGGCACTAAAATGCTATGATTTGGTAAGAAATCACAACAGAATAGTAAAGTAGAAGAGAATGACTATATTCAAACTCTAGCTCTGCCACTAATTTGACATGAACCTCAGGGAAGTTATTTAGCTTCTCTGGGCCTCAGTTTCCTCAACTGTAAAATGGTAAGACTATCACCTACCTCAAGGGCTGGTGTGAAAAACCACAGAACCATAGAACCACAGCTAGAACCCAGGCTAGGCACAGAAAGATGCAAGCTAAGTAGAGAAGGTAGAAATGTGCAAAATACGAAGACATTCCAGAGAGGAAGCTAAAACTAGCAAAGGCTAGGAAGTGAGAATAAATGTGGACTGTAAGACAATTGGCTAGTTTTTGTTTGGGGCAATGGTGAAAAAATAAGATATGATCTAAATGAGTTTAAAAATAGTAGACTAAAAACTGATTATATAAACATTACTTTATCATGTGTATTTTTGGAGGTAGATGAGAGTTCTAGTGACAGTAATTAGCATCCAGTCTACAAAATAATCTGCCTTGAGAACATCTCACACACTATATACCAGTCAGTCCTTTAATAAGAATCCGTATAAAACTCAAGAATTCCATCACATTTTGTGCAAGCCAAATATAAGTAAATGCTGAATTAGAGTTATTTTAGAAGCATCCTTTTCTTCATGCTAGCTCAAAGAAACCAAGAGATGATTATATGACTATCAATGTGACAAAACACAAATTGAAAGAACTGTACTCCCCCATGAATTACCTTGTTACAATGTAAGTAACATTTTATTACTTCTCTGCTCAAAATCCTCAGATAGCTCCCATCCCAGTTAAGGTGAAATCTTCACAACAGTCTAAAAGGCTCTGGTTGTTCTGCCCACCCCATTCCTCCGTCCTTCCCTGACCTCATCTCCTACTACTCCCTCTGCTCACAGGACTCCAAGCACATTGGTCTTCTCACTGTTCCTCTAACAGGCCAGCTTTGTCCTCTTCCAGGCCTTTATGCTTGCTGTTCCCCTGCTTGGAACGTTCCTTTCCCCAGAAAGGAACATGGCTCACTCCCTCACCTTCTTCTTCTACTCTACTTAAGTATCAGCTTGTCTTTAAGGACTTGCCTGACTAACCTACTGCAAATTCCAACAACACATTCCCATTCCCCTTTCCAGCTTTATTTTTTTCCCTAAGGCATCAATCATCTTCTAACATACAGCATAATTTATTCATCTGTTTGCCTCTCTTCCCTCCACTAGAAAGTTAAGTTCCATGAAGGCAGGGGTCACAGACCTATCCCTAACGCCTAAGATGGTGTTAAGGGATAGGCACACAATAATCACCAATAAAAATATTCATTGAATGAATGAGTTACACATTAGGCTACATAATGCCCCTTCTAGATACGGAAAAATACATTTTTCCCCCATCGCTGAAAGTCTAAAAATTAGTTTTTGGTAGAAACCCTTATTGCTCACCTCCTATGTGCAGGAACTGGGCTTGGCTCTGAAAGTTTAAATGAATTAAGACAATTCTTGCCCTTTAGAAATTCCTGGGTGTGTATATTGGGGAGGGGGCAGACATACAAACCTCATTTACAAAACACCATATACAGGGAAGCCACAGGAAATTGATTAACAGCCTAAAGGAGTGAGGGCAAGGAGAAAAATGCTCACTGAGGTGATGAGACGATAATTACCCCAACTTTCGACCAGTACGATACTTTTTCCTTATATTTTTGGTGCGTATGCTTGCAACTTCACATAAATTATTTACTCACATAAGATAGGCTTTCAGGTAGGCCGCAAAAAAGTTTGTGACTACCGTGATCTCCCCAGACTGCACAAAGAACATGGACTATGTCTTTTACAGTCTTCTCGTTTGGCAGGTTTTGCCTATTGGGACCCCTAATTTGGGGTCTTGCATCTCCCACCTGCTACCTGCTTGGGTCAGAATCCTTCCCGTGGCTAGCCCTGCCTCAGAGCCGGGCACCCTGGAAATCCCTTCCTAGCCGGGCGGGTGCCGCCTCCGGAAAGCCGCCAACTGGGCCTCGGTAAGAGTTGCGAGAAGCGGGAGCCGTGGGAGGACGGCGCGGCTCGGAAGGCCCCCTCTAGGCCTCAGCCCGCACTTCCATCCCTCCCCAGTACCCTGGCCGCTGGTGCCCGGAGGCTTCGCGGACTCTTTGTTAAGCGAGGCCGCAGTTCTCCGCCCTTGCTAGGCCCCACAGTTGCCTCCAGTGCCCCCGAGGGTTAGCAGCCCTAAATCCTGAGCTCCCACGCACAAACCTGCTGCTACAGCTGCAGCAGCAGCTGCTACTACTGCCGGCGCGGAAAAAAAATCTCGCGGCCCAAAGTACGCGCTGTCCGGGCTCCGTCCCGCCGCACTCTTCCCTCTCCGCCCCCTTCGCCGCTGCTGCCGCCGCCGCCTCTGGCCCGTTGCTGGAAGGGGGAGGGGGATGAAACCCTGACATGCGCAGTGAAGAGAGCGCGGGCCAAAGGGCGGGGCCTGGGGCTACGGCTACCGGAAGGCGCTGCTGGCTCCCGGCTTTAAAGTTCCAGAATGCCTCACAGCTCCTCAGACTCCGACGGAAGCTGCTGCTGGGTGAAGAGTGTTCATGGCCCACCTGGAAAGTGGGTCTGGGAATGAAGAAAGAGGGGCAGTGACAAGGAGCCGCCCAAAAATCCGAAATGCAAAGGAGTAGGGCGAATACCACATTTACATTAAAATGTCAATCCCCTTAACTTCGGTCTCTTGCAAATACGACTTGAGCAACATTTCTCTGCTTGCCTGTAGCCACGTGGTCCCATAGAGCATGGCCACCTTTAGCTTCCGGAGCACCCGTTCAGTGTGACGTCAACTTGACTGAACTCAAGTGAGTAGGACTGGGATAGGCGAGGACAGTTCCGGCCCCGGGGCGGGGATTATGTAATTTTCCCAGCAGCCCCCCCTCGCCTCAGCTGGGCCGGGGACGCTGTCCCTGAGGCTGCGTCCCGCCCCCCACGCCGCGCGCAGGCGTGGACGAGCCGCACGCATTCTACGTAACGGACGGCGGAGGCTAGGTGAAGGGGGCGCGGCGTGACTGAGCTACCGGGTCAGGCTCTGTCTTAGAGGCTTCTGGGCAGTGAAGCCGCAGCGACCACAGAGGCGGCGACTAGACTGAGAGGCAGGCAGGGTATAGGTGGCGGACGCAGGAGCGTTGGGCCGAGTTTTAGCCTCGGCTACAGGTAGGTAGCGGGCCATTACGCGTTACTCGGTGGGTCCGGGCCAGGCCGAGCGGTGACTCTGGAGTTGCGTGGCCTGTATGCCGGTCTGGTTCCTCAGCCAACCCTTAAGTCCAGTCGGTAGTGACATGCATCGGTCCCTGTGCCTTCTAACTTCTCCCAACTTTATTTTGGAAAAAAAAAAATTCTTTTAACTCTAAAAAAATTCTTTTAACTCCATCCACACTAAGGCCTATTTTCTGTTGGCTTACTGGAGAGGGGGGTTGGGATTTTAATAGTTTTCGGGAACTTTCCCACAGAGCTGTCGGAGGGTGAGGAAATGCCAACCAGAAGGGCAAAGTTAGAGGAAATTTACAGTGTGCACCAGGAAGAATGGAAGTAGGCTTTAGGATGAAGTGATTCTCCATGGTAGGGAGAAACTAGACAAGGGTGGTTTAACAGAAGCAACAACTTCTGTGGCCAATTTTTGATGAAGGTTTCTAACTTGAAATGGTTTTTATCCATCATATGTAAGGAGACGGGAATGAAATCTACATGATTTCCATAAGACTCATATTCTGGCCATTGTCAGAATGGCCTAATCTAAAATGACAACAAGGAATGATGGCCTAACTTACTCCTCTTTCGTTTTAAATTCAGTCAGTCAGTCAGTCGCTGAGAGACTATTGGGTGAGCTTGCAGAAAATAATCAAACCAGATTCGTTAATGTATTTGCCTTGACTTGGTCTTGGTCCTGTGTTCCTTCAGGAATCTCAAGACAAGTGGCCTGGCAGGGAGTTGAGCATTTGAGAAATGAGTTGACAGGTGCAACAGAGGCTTCTGATAGGGAAGGCCAAGGTACAAATGGCTTGGATAATTTTAAACTAAATAACCTTAAAGGAGCTTTGTTACAGTGCTGAGTTATCTTGGAAATGTTTTTATGGTGTGAACATTCTAAATGGAAATTCTTTTTGAAATGATCAGACATTTCAGCAGGCCATTAATCAAGCTGACTGTACAAGTGTTAACCTTTAGTCATTTCTATTTGGAAAAAAGTTCAAGACTGGGATCTGAAAAAGGAAACACTAAAAATGAAATTTTTTAACTCTTAAAGGATATTTGTAAGGCACAGCAGAAGAAAGTTAGTTCCTGACTTATAGGAACTAATATTGAGTGCCTTTGCTGTGCTGGGCAGTGTGTTAAAAATTTAAAATGCACGTATCTAGGATTCGGTGCTCTCACTGCGGAGGCCCAGGTTCGCTTCCCTGTCAGGGAACCAAAACAATTTTAAAAAATAAAAATGCACGTATCTCCTGTAATACCCACCACAGCCCAGAGGCAAGTAGCAAATGATATCCCTTTTTTTTGCAAGTGAGGAACAGGGAATTTTAAGTAATTAGCCTAAGGTCATATGGCTGGTAAATGGTAGAGCTAAATGGCACATCGTGAGAACTAGGGGGAAAGCCTAGACAAATTAAAAGAGAAACTTTAGCATTCTGGGAGGTGGATGCAGGAGGATCACTTGAGCTCAGGAGTTCGAGACCAGTTTGAGCAAGAGTGAGACCCTGTCTCTACTAAGAAAATGGAAAGAAATTAGCTGGACAACTAAAAGTATGTATGTATATATAAAAAATTAGCCGGGCATGGTGGTGCATGCCTGTAGTCCCAGCGACTCGGGAGGCTGAGACAGGAGGATTGCTTGAGCTAGGAGTTTGAGATTGCTGTCAGCTACACTGACACCATGGCACTCTAGCTGGGGCAACAGAGTGAGACTCTGTCTCAAAAAAAAAAAAAAAAAGAATTGATGGTGCTATGAATATGAAATTTAGATTATTCATTATTTCCAAGCTTGAAAGATTAGTACATATTTCCTTTTGCCATACTCTCACCTCCCATTAGTACTCAACTCTCTGCATCTGGCTTCCATCCCTACCACTTCTCTGCACTTGTCAATAATGATTTCCTGATTAATATTTGGAAATTTTTGGTCTATATCTTATTTGAACTTCAGTTGAAACTGAGCTCTGCTTCCTTCTTAAAAACATGCTTCTCCTTTAACTTCTGTGATATCACTTTGACCAGATTCTCTTCTTTTTCTCTAACCATTACTTTTTAGCATCCCATTCTAGTTTTTCACCTCTTAATTGTTATGTGTTTCTGGGTTGTTTTGGTCGTCATTGTTGTTTTTTTTCTTTTTCTTTTTCAACCTTATTCTTAATACCATCTCTCTTTCCAGCTCAGGCTTGTATCCTAAACTCCTGACTTATATTTCCAGGTAATTTCCTTTTCTCCGTTTATAAAATGGGTTATGACACCTTTTAGGGACATGAAAATTAAGAGATAAGTGTTAGTCTTCTAGCATACTGCTTGAAAACTCTCCAGACTTTTCAACAGCTACTAAATTCAATTTATTACTTTTTCCCACAATTTTTTCCTCCTTTATTGTTCTTTATCTCAATTAAGGATGCCTTTATCCAGCTATTTATCAAGCCACAACTTGGTATCACCACAGATCTTCCTTGCCCATATTCCCTATATCCAATCACTTTATGCAAATATAATTCTTAAATGCCTATCAGATCACTTTTTCTCTTCATTCCCACCACTGCCAGATAATTACTGTTTTATCCAGTTATCTTAGCTACTTCGTATTTTTCCTGCCTCGAGTACCCTTCTCCAATTCACTCCACCAATAAGCTGTCAGTGTTAAATTACAAATCTGATCATGGCACTCTTCTACTTAAAATCCTTTAGTTGCTTTTAATTTATCCAAACTTCTTTGTGTGATATTTAAATAAAAAATCATGATCTGGCCCCTGATGGCCTTTCCAGCCTCATTTCCCCCACTTCACAGTGGTCTGCAACCATTTTGGCACCAGGGACATTTCATGGACTGGAGAGGAGGTGCGTGGATGGTGGTTTCAGGATGATTCAAGCACATTACATTTACTGTGCACTTTATTATTATTACATTGTTACTTGCCACTCACTGATAGGGTTTTGACATGAATCTGCAAGTAATTGATTTATTATGATGTCTGTGCAGTCAAGCCTCTCTGCTAATGATAATCTGTATTTGTAGCCGTTCTCTAGCGCTAGCATTACTGCCCCAGCTCCACCTCAGATCATCAGGCATAAGATTTTCATGAGGAGCGTGCAACCTAGATCCCTTGCATGCACAGTTTACAGTAGGGTTCACGTTCCTGTGAGAATCTAATATGTTGATCTGATAGGAGGCAGGTGATGTGAGTGATGGAGATCAGCTGTAAATACAGATGAAGCTTCACTCCCTTGCCTGCCACTCACCACCTGCTGTGCAGCCTGGTTCCTAACAGGCCACAGACTCTTACTGGCTCAGGTTGGGAACCACAGCTCTATCATACCAAACTCCTGAAGTATGTTATTTCAGGCCTCTGTACCATAGCTGTTCCTCAATCTGCAATGCCTCATCTCGAGTGCAGGAGGAACCATGCTTTTATTTTTGCAACTATTACTTTTGGCCAAGTATGGTAGCTTGTAACAGAGGCCGAGGTGAGAGGATCACTTAAGGCTAGGAGTTCAAGGCCAGCCTAAACAATAGAGTGGGGCCCCATCTCTACAAAAAATGAAAAATTTAGCAGGGTTTGGTGGTGTGCACCTGTAGTTCCAGCTACTTTAGGGAAGCTGAGGCAGGAAGATCACTTGAGCCCAGGAATTTGAAGTTGCAGTGAACTGTGACACCATTGCACTCTAGCTGGGGCAGCAGAGCAAGACCCTGTCTCAAAACAAAAAGACAAACAAATAAAAAACTTTTTTAATTACAAAAGTATCTTGTAGAAAAATATAAAGAAAAATAGAGACAAAATGCCCATAATCCTACCATACAAACTAACTACTGTTTATGCATAGATGTATGTCCTTCTAAACTGTTTTTTTAAATGTGTGTTTGCTTTAAAAACAACATGGGTTCTAACTTCATTTGTAACAATTTGTAGTGGACAGAAAGTAACCTTGCTTTTTGGATACACCCATAGTTTAACCAAGTAGTTTCAAATTCACTCTCCCATAAGTAATACTTTTAAACAAATAACTCTCTAAGCTGAATTCCTGTGTAAATTTATGATTATTCAGGAATCATGCTTTGCTTATCTTGGTATCTACTGTGGTGATATATTTATTGAAGGTACATTTAATTACATATAATAGTATCATTTATCAAAAGCAATGAAAACCAAAGGAGTTTTTATAATATTTTATAATTGGTTAGCCTTTGATGATTATTGAATTCTTATGTAATAAAAATTGTGTTTTAGAAAGATGGTGGTTTTTAGCAAGGAGAGAAGTAGGGATAGAGTTGAGACAAGGGAGACCATTTAGGATAATAACTATGGTTCCTCAGCAGATAGGTGGTGGTAACTTGGATTATGGTAGTTTTGGGGATCAAAGAAGAAAACATTAGGATTTGATGGCTGATTAGATTTCAAAGGGAAAAGAAAGCCAGAAATTGGATATTTTGTTCATTTCAACAAGCAAGACTGGAAAGATTGGATTGATACTGTAATAGTATAAAAATAGAGAAATTCAGGCCAAGCACAATGGCTCACATCTATACTCCCAGCACTTTGGGAGGCCAAGGTGGGAGAATCACTTGAGACCAGGAGTTTGAGACCAGTCTGAGCAACATAATGAGAACTCAGTTTCTACAAAAGAATTTTTTTTTATTAGCTGAGTGTGGTGGCTGGCTGTAGTCCCAGCTACTTGGGAGGCTGAGGCAGAAGGGTTGCTTGAACCCAGGAGTTTGAGGCTGCAGTGAGTTATGATTGTGCCACTACACTCCAGCTTGGGTGAAGAGCAAGACTCTGTCTCAAAAAAAAAAGGAAGGAAACTCAGATGCCTACTGAGTTTGAGTTAGAGCTAACTGTAGGGCAGGTGTCTGCAGACTACCACCTGAGAGGTGGCCTGTGAAAGAATGGTTTTTACGTTTTTAAAGGGTTGTTTAAAGAAAGGAGAATATGCAACAAAGACCAGTATGTGCTCCATAAAGCATAAAATATTTACTATTTTACCAGATACAGAAAAAGTTTGTAGGACATAAAAATAGAGATATCTATTAAACAATTGACAACACAGGGCTGGTCTTGAGATAACTGCTATTTGTATATAGATGTATGTCCTTCTAAACCTTTTTCTTTATGTGCCTCAGTGGTTTTAATGGTTAAAATCTAACTACTTTTCAAATGCCAGCTATAATGTTCTCCCCCTTTTTTTGTAAAGCCTTACGTATTTAATAAAATAGTTACATTGCCCTCCATGTTTTCATATAATCTGGTACATATTTTTGTCATATATATGGTTTTGTCTGTCAGTTCAAAAGCTTGTTCAGTTGTTGGAATACTTAAGTGTCCTTTTCAAAAAGCTATATATAAAACGCTGATATATTGAATTCCATCCTATACACTAGGAACAATTTGTTAGCAGAAAATTACTACTTTTAAGTAAGTAATATAAAACCACAGCCACCAATGTACATTTTAGAAGCAGCCTGAGAAATGGTTCATAACATGAATTTTGGAGGCAAAACTCTGGGATCAAATCATAGCCCTGTTGCACTGGGTAGTTAGCATCTCTGTGCCTCATTTTTCTTATCTGAAATAAGGATGTTAGTACTGCTACTTTCCTTAGAGGGCTGTTATAGGATTAAATAAATTGCTTTTTGTAACGCCTTTAGAACAGTGTGTAGCTAGCACTTAGTGTCTTACGTGTTGGATCTCATGATAATGGTGTTCACACATGCACACACAAAGTTGATCTAAAGAGGAATGGCTTTTCTGTTCCTGGATTATTCTTGCTACAACTAACAGATAAATAGTTACATCTTATTCCTTCATTATACACCCTTCTCAGTTCCTATAAAAAACTTAGTGGCCTCCCCAAAATGCTTATTTGAATACTCAATGTAAATATGAAGAGAATTTTAGAGAGCCCAACCTAAAGAAATTAAATGACTTGATGACTTGTCTAGGATTTTACAGATACCTAGTGCCAGGATTTAGACTAGAACCCAAGCCTCTTGACTTCACTTCATTTTCCTTTATCTAATGCTATCTGAATCAAATAGTATTGCATGAGAGACAAGCAGGAAAGGTTTATAGATTTATTAGCTATTTACAAAATCTGATCAGTATATATAGAATGGCATTCCATTTGGGTTTTTTGTTTGTTTGTTTTAAGGTGCAATGAAAGCCTTCCATACTTTCTGTGTTGTCCTTTTGGTATTTGGGAGCCTGTCTGAAGCCAAGTTTGATGATTTCGAGGATGAGGAAGATATAGTAGAGTATGATGATAATGACTTTGCTGAATTTGAGGATGTCATGGAAGATTCTGTTACTGAATCTCCTCAACGGGTGATAACCACTGAAGATGATGAAGATGAGACCACTGTGGAGTTGGAAGGACAGGATGAAAACCAAGAAGGAGATTTTGAAGATGCAGATACCCAAGTGAGGTTCTTTTTTTATTGATTTCTTGGGAAATCAGAAGGATGGGAAATTCTGTAACTAGTGCTTTTCCCAAACATTACGAGTAAGAGCCAGATCTAAGGGAGACCTTTACTATCTGGCACCTTAATTTTTGTTCTATAGTTATAACTCTTCTAAATGTTTTGTGATCTGTTCCTAACTCTTACATTGATAGAATGGATTGTGTTTTTCTCTTCTATTGAAACCCTGGCTAGGGGAGGGGCTGGAGAATAGACAATGTGTAGGATGAGAATTATATTATTTAGAACTTTGGGTTTAAAAGCATGGGGAGTCATCATTTGGTGTTTGGGTTTTTTTCCCCTCAGCTTTTTTGTGGTATAATTGACAAATAAAAATTGTGTACATTTAAGGTGTACAGCATGATGTTTTGATATGCATATACATTGTGAAATTCTTAACACAGTCAAGCTAATTAACATAACCATCACCTCATGTAGATACCTTTGTGTACATATGTGGTAAGAATACTTAAGATCTACTCTGTTCTGGGAGGCCGAGGTGGGTGGATTGCTAGAGGTCAGGAGTTCAAAACCAGCCTAAGCAAGACCCCCTCTCTACTAAAAATAGAAAGAAATTAATTGACCAACTAAAAATATATATACAAAAAATTAGCCGGGCATGGTGGCGCATGCCTGTAGTCCCAGCTACTGGGGAGGCTGAGGCACTAGGATCGCTGGAGCCCAGGAGATTGAGGTTGCTGTGAGCTAGGCTGACACCAGGGCACTCACTCTAGCCTGGGCAACAAAGTGATACTCTGTCTCAAAGGAAAAAAAAAAGATCCACTCTGTTAGCAATTTCAAGTATACAGTACATTATTAACCATAGTTACCATGCTGTACATTAGGTTTCTAGAACTTATCTTAACCTGAAAATTTGTACCCTTTGATCATTTTGTTAAAAGTGTAATATCTCTGTATTCTGTTCTTGCTGCTTACACATTCTGTTTTCTTCTATAAATGTTGCCTACAAAATGAGACACAACTGTTGGTGACATTTGTAGAGGAAAACACATGGTGCCTCATTTTTGTAGGAGGGAGATACCGAGAGTGAGCCATATGATGATGAAGAATTTGAAGGTTATGAAGACAAACCAGATACCACTTCTAGCAAAAATAAAGACCCGATAACAATTGTTGATGTAGGTATACAGAATTCTGAATTCCACACTAACCAACAAAATATCTTGTTGTTATTAATCCCAGAAATATAATTAGTGAGATATAGCTGGTATTGAGATATAGCTGGTATTGATGTAACAGTGGGAGCTGGGAAAGAACTTGACATCAATTCTTCTGATAAGAACCCACACCTAGAGAAGGAACTCCTATTTTTATTCTAGCCCTCCTAGTTTTACTTATAAATGAACAAGTAAGAGGATATACAGTACATTGAGTTTATTTTGAGGTGGGACTCAGGACCAAGTGTAATACAAAGAGCTTTCCAGCTTTTCATCCCATTTGATTGTCCTTACATTTCCTTAAAGAATCTTTTACAAAGCTGACTTAGAAAACCAAAATGAGTATAATTTTCAAAGTATAATCATGTTCAGTGACAGTTATGGGTTTCTCATTCTTTATTCCATGAGTTAGACTCCCTCCTTCAGCCTCAGCCCACATTAAATGGAATGATTTTGCTTCTTTAGGTTCCTGCACACCTCCAGAACAGTTGGGAGAGTTATTATCTAGAAATTTTGATGGTGACTGGTCTGCTTGCCTATATCATGAATTACATCATTGGGAAGAATAAAAATAGTCGCCTTGCTCAGGCCTGGTTTAATACTCACAGAGAGCTCTTGGAGAGCAACTTTACCTTAGTGGGTAAGTTAGGCCAATGTAAATCCAACTTCCTGCTTGAAAACAATCTGGTAAGGATGGTTTATTCCCATCAGTATAAGTGTGTAACTGTTTTCATTGAATGCTAAAAAGGATACATTTTATTTTCTCCCAAGGATCCTGTTTTTTGTTAGGTTGTATGTACTGAATAAATTGCATTTATGTAAAAATGTTCTCATCTTGCATTAATCAACAGTATAATTGCCAAACAGCCTCTGATTAGAATGATACAATCAATATTACCAAAATAAGTTGATAAAATTCTGGCTGAAACCAAATAATTTTGACATTTTAGGTAGCTTGATAATTGCTTTTGATTCATAAAATTGGAAGTCCCTCAAAATTCTCTCAAGTTCTGGACACTCTAGTTTACGGATGAGGTATATAGTAAAGTACTTAGAGAAACCCTTGTAGTTACATGGTATGGGAAGTGAGGTGTACTTGCCTGACATTCACCTCTGGCATTTAGCACTTTATTTCTCTTTAATAGTAATCCATCTGCTCCACAACAGGAAAATGTTTATATATTGTGCTGGATACTTTTTTTTTTTCTTTGTGTTTTTGAAAGTAGGTGACTGTATGTGCTGGGTACTTTGTACACATTGTTCCTTATTTATTCTTTGTAGCAACACTGTCATTTGGGTATAGTTTCTATTTTCCTGAGGGAACTACAGGGCAGAAATGTTAAAAACTTGTCTAAGCTATTAAGTAACCGTGGGAGCAGTGCTGGTAGTCCCAGCTACTGGGGAGACTAAGGCAGGATGAACACTTGAGCCCAGGAGTTCAAGACCAGCCTAAGCAACATCATGAAACCCCATCTCTAAAAATAAATAGCAACCAAGATATTAAAACCTATGTACCTGTTTTCAAACTGCATACTCTCTCCATTCTACTATAGTATTTCAGCGTACTTCTTGACCAGGAAATCAAAAAAATAAGTAGCCTGTGGCTCCTTCCACTTCTTATTTGTTTTCATTTGGTGTATCAGTCTATTTTACCTGGTGAGGTCGAACAGTTCTTTTGTACACTTAATGAATGAAATAAAGAGAGAAATTATTGGAATTTGAGCTTTTTCTAGATCTAAAATACAACTCAATACCACTGATAAGACTCAGTTATTTAGCTGTTGGTGAGAAAAGACAGAAAGTATTGAATAGTCTGTATTAATGGTATTTTTTTTCACTGTGTAGGAGGTTTTTTGGTTTTTTTTAACTTTTGGCAGAGATATTTAGACTGATTTTGTTCCATTTTCTATCTAATTGAGAGATTTATACTCTAAGATAATCATCGTTAAACTAACGATATATGCTAGAGTCCATAATTTTTTTTATGGAGACAGTAGAGTTTTAAAAGTAAAAGGAACAGTGCCAATCTGTTTTAATCCCTGTGTAAAGGAGAGTTCTGTAAGATAGCAAAATATTTCTACCCTAAATCTATGATCATTAGGGGGTTAGGGTAGAGGAGGGTATTAGACATCCACATTTTCAGTTAATCACATTAAGTGGTTTTACTCCTAGGAGATGATGGAACTAACAAAGAAGCCACAAGCACAGGAAAGTTGAACCAGGAGAATGAGCACATCTATAACCTGTGGTGTTCTGGTCGAGTGTGCTGTGAGGGCATGCTTATCCAGCTGAGAGTAAGTAGGGAACTTCTGGTACAATGTGTATCTTCCCTTAATTTTTTTCCAGCCATGATTCCTAATTCACCAAATTTAGTGTCTCATCCATTTATATTTGACTTGAAGTCTACAAATTATTTCTACTAATTGGCAAATGTGTTGTAGAGTATATTGGATGAAGCATTTGGTCCTACAAGGCCCTTTCTTTATAGTAAGTAGAAGCTTCAGTTGTGTTAACTCACTTCTCTCATTTTTTCAGTTCCTCAAGAGACAAGACTTACTGAATGTCCTGGCCCGGATGATGAGGCCAGTGAGTGATCAAGTGGTATGTGGTCTTTCCACTGGCTTTCTGTGTACAGACTGAATTCTTTACTTCTTAGAGCCTATTCCATTTCTGCCTGGATTGTGTTTGGTGTTTCTGGCAACTTGTGTCCCTTGCCAAAAAATTGACCCTTTTTTGTTTGGACAGATGGCCTTCTGCCATATAGCAGCATAATTATGGGAGTGCTATTCCATCATATTCACAAATTGTACTCAGAGGGAGGATGTGTAGTACACCAGGGGGTGGGAATCTTAGGGGTCATTTAGAAATCTGCCTACCACGGAATCTAACAAGTGGGTTTTGTTGTTGATTTTTAAAGCAAATAAAAGTAACCATGAATGATGAAGACATGGATACCTATGTGTTTGCTGTTGGCACACGGAAAGCCTTGGTGCGACTGCAGAAAGAAATGCAGGATCTGGTATGTCAGGTTGTTCCAACTGAAATATATGGAGAAGCTGTGCCTCTTTATTACTTAGATGCTCAACTTTGTAGCATAGGATAATTAATTATATCAGATGAGTGTTTGAAGCACTACTTTGAAATAGGTCAGTACATATTCTTTTGAGGGGGGGAGTCTTCTTTGTGCATAATAAAATGTTATGTCTTACTTTCAATTACTTCTTCCCCCAGAGTGAGTTTTGTAGTGATAAACCTAAGTCTGGAGCAAAGTATGGACTGCCAGACTCCTTGGCTATCCTATCAGAGATGGGAGAAGTCACGGAGGGAATGATGGATACAAAGGTAAATGCAATAGAAGACATACATCTGCAAGACCTTGTATTTATAGGCCACTCTCCCTAAAAGTCTCACTGTACAAGTTCTTCATTTTATAACAATGCACTAGTTATGAATTCCTCTCCCACACAAATATTAAAATACCTCTTTAAGCAGTAGATTAACTTGTCAAAAGGACTGTTTGATTAGTCAAGAAGTTCTCTCTAAATCAAGAGCAAATTGTTCCTGGGTTTGCTAAAGACTTTTCAGGCTTTTTGAAAAGGGAATATAATTTTAATCCTTTTCACCTGTCATTTAGTCTTTTTTTGTTTTTTTTTATTTTTGAGCTTCAGTTAGTGTGGAAGAAGAGGGAATATAGAGAGAGACCCCCACAGCCTCCCCTTTTTTTTAAGAGATGGATCTTGCTATGTGCCCAAGCTGGATTGCAGTGGCTATTCACAGATGTGATCATAGCTAACTGACTATAGCCTTGAACTCGTGGGCTCAAGCAATCATCCCACCTTATCCTCCCCAGTAGCTGGGACTATGGACACATGCCACCATGCCCAGCTGAAAGACCCATTTCTTCTGTTGGTTGTGTAATGGTAACAAATCTTTGTATCATAAAAATATAGGATAACTCAGAGATAGTTATAAATATAAGTTCAAGGTAGTGTGTTTATAAAGAGTCCCCTGAAATTATTTTAGGTTTTCTCTTTATGCTTTCATTTTTGTTTAGAACATTGAGACATTTTTATCTGCTTAATGAGAAATTTAATCGTTGGTGTGACTAAAGGGTGCTAGTTTCATTTTAGAGAGGTTCCTTATTTAATTTTTAAAAGCTTTGGTCTTAATGACATGGTGCAAAAGTAAGGAGGATTGAAGAGTGAATATCTTTATGAAAAAAGGGAAATGCATCAAACCCAACTTAAAAAATACAATATTTTATTTTTTTTCAGATGGTTCACTTTCTTACACACTATGCTGACAAGATTGAATCCGTTCATTTTTCGGATCAGTTCTCTGGTCCAAAAATTATGCAAGAGTACGTATGAGATAAAAACGTTAAAGTTAATTTTCCTTACTCGCTTTCTGTGTTAGAATACCTTAAGGTGCTTCTGCAATTTCCCTTATCAAATGAGTAAGGGGAGTTGGTGACACGCCTCCAAGTGTTCCTTTGCTTTGAGTGCGTACATCATGAGAGGTCATTGGAAACCTATAAGAGACAAACACATGAGCTACCCTCCCCCAGTTTGCATGTTTTGCACCACCCCATGCAGTGCCCTCCAGCATGTTTGCACCACTCACTCAGTGGAATGGTTGAGAATCTTACAGAATGGCTGATGCTAAGAAAAGCAATTGCTAATTTCTTTTCCCTTTGTAGTATAGGTTCTTTTTAAAAAATTTATGATATTAATTTGTGATGTTTGACTTGTGTTTGATTGCAGATCTGTGTATTTTGTAATTTACGGCCTTTTCTGGCTTCCCTGTCTGAATAGTTGGGTGATTGTATACTTTCCTAGCACCTTATCAGACATCATCAATGCCCATAGAGTTTCTGGATTTATTGTAATATTATTCAAGCTTACATATTTAGGTCTTGGATTTGTTCTTTGAATTCACAGCTTGCATAAGGAGAGCATATTTATTTCCCTTTATCCTTGGTGTGGAACTGGTTCTGACCCTAATTTTTAGCTAAAGGCTTCTCATAGGCTGTGAAGTTGAGCACAGTTAAAAGCCAGTGTGGATTTTAGTTGTATATTAAGATTACTCAGGTCCTTATCCCTCTAGGCATCATCCTTGCCTTGGTCAACTCAATAACAACACTGGGGACAAAGTTTCCATTGTAGTGTTCATCAAGCCTTTTGTTTGTGGAAGGGAGGGCAGTTGGTCAAAGGATTTATAGTTGAAAGTTACAAAGGAATCTTCAATGACAGAACTAAATTATATCTGCTATTCCTAAATTTTTAGGAGGCCTAACTCAAAAATAAGATGCTTTGTTATAGGAAGATAGCATAGGAGTTGGAAATAAAAAATAAAAATCCATCAAAATAAGCAAAAATATTGTTTAAAATATGGGCCTCATATTTAAATATAGGCTCATTTCTGGCTCCCCAGTTGAAATGGAATATACCCTGCTTGGAGGGAACTTCACTGGAGGTGTTCAAGTATAGAGTAAAGATCACTTGGGAATGCATCCATCAGATACATGAATGGACCAGATGACCTGTAAACCTCCTTCAGGCTCTAAGATATTTGGCTTGGGAATGCCAAGCCAAATACTGTGCTAATTATTTGCAGGTATCTGTTCATCTAAGTGGATTGGGTGACTTGTATGCATGGAAAATATCTATTTTGTGTTCCTTCTTAATAGCCTTTTGTTTTATGACAGGGAAGGTCAGCCTTTGAAGCTACCTGACACTAAGAGGACACTATTGTTTACATTTAATGGTAAGCGTTCTGGGTTCTGTCTGGGTTCTTAGTTTTCTGTGACATGATCTTGACAGCATTGTTCCTTCCTCAAGGATAGCTATAAAACTATGTTAAAACTAACCCCATGCTTGCTTATTGATTTCTGGGTTTCTTCAAGAAATGAACCTTTGGCCGGGCACAGTGGCTCACGCCTGTAATCGTAGCACTCTGGGAGGCTGAGGCGGGCGGATTGATCGAGGTCAGGAGTTCGAAACTAGCCTGAGCAAGAGCGAGTCCCTGTCTCTACTATAAATAGAAAGAAATTAATTGGCCAAGTAATATATATAGAAAAAATCAGCTGGGCATGGTGGCGCATGCCTGTAGTCCCAGGTGCTCGGGAGGCTGAGGCAGGAGGATTGCTTGAGCCCAGGAGTTTGAGGTTGCTGTGAGCTAGGCTGACACCCTGGCACTCTAGCCAGGGCAACAGAGTAAGACTCTGTCTCCAAAAAAAAAAAAGAATTTTAATAGAAACCAGCCATGTGCCCCTTTTGTATTTTTGTTTTCTGTTTTGGGGTTTTTGTTTTGGTTTTAGATTTTTTTGTGGGGAATACAGTAGCATGATCATAGCTCACTATAACCTCAAACTGCTGGGTTCAAGTGATCCTGCTGCCTCAGCCTCCTGAGTAGCTGGGACTACAGGCACGTACCACCACACCCAGCCTTGTTTTCTGTTTTTTTAATGTAACTAGAACCTCAAACTTAGAACTTTTTAGGCTTTAGTATATCTTTCAAAGATCAGCATGTTCTGATATTTTTATGAAAAAAGATGCCATTATCCAGCTCTAAAATAATTTTAAACTTTGTAAATTTTGATCAAAACAGAGAAAAGTCCTAGAAGATGTGAGTTTTAATTGGTATAATATTGAAAGGTTTGAAGAAAATTCTTAGGAGTGAAGGGGGCATGCTTCCAAGAAAATGTGAACTGCTGTGTGGCACTGCAATTGCCAATACTGTCATTAATGCTATTTAATGAAGTGTTCAGGATACCAGAGACCTGTCCTCATCTTACTCTCTTTCTCTTCAGTTTTTGTTTGATTTGGTTTAGTTTAGTGATAGGCTTTTTTTTAAGTCAGAGTCTTACTCTGTTGCCTGGGCTAGAGTACCGTGGCGTCAGGCTAGCTCACAGCAACCTCAAACTCCTGGGCTCAAGCAATCCTGCTGCATCAGCCTCCCGAGTACCTGGGACTACAGCCATGCGCCACCATGCCCAGATAATTTTTTCTATATGTTTTTGGTTAGCCAATTAATTTCTTTCTATTTATAGTAGAGACAGGGTCTCGCTCTTGCTCAGTCTGATTTCAAACACCTGAACTTGAGCAGTCCTCCCACCTCGGCCTCCTAGAGTGCTAGGATGACAGGCATGAACCACTGTGCCCAGCCAGTGATAGGATATTTTCCCTGAAAATATAGCTCTTTTTGCTGTCATCATTATAAATGAAAATGGCTTTTAATGTATACATGAAGAATCTACACAGGAATAGGTAATGCCTTTTATTTTTCTATGAAAAGGAAATTCTTTCTAGGGTTTGAAACTATAATAGGTTAAAGGAAAACGGGCATCTGGATCTTGAGTTAGATTTTCAGCTTCTTGTGAATATAAAGAATTAATTTTTTTGAGAACCACCACTATAAGCCTATCACGTGGTGCATGCCTGTAGTCCCAGCTACTCAGAAGGCTGAGGCAGGAGGATCACTTGATCCCAGAAGTTCAAGGTAGAAGTGAGCTATGATTAATTAAACCTTGATTTAATGTAATTATGGGCCAGTGCGGTGGCTCATGCCTGTAATCCTAGCACTCTAGGATCCTAGCACTCTATATAAAAATATATAGAAAAAACTAGCTGGGCATGGTGGCACATGCCTGTAGTCCCGGCTACTTGAGAGGCTGAGGCAGGAGGATCACTTGAGCCCAGGAGTTCGAGGTTGCTGTGAGCTAGGCTGATGCCACGCCACTCTAGCCAGGGCAACAAGAGTGAGACTCTGTCTCCAAAAAAAAACAAAACAATGTAATTATGTAAAAATAACAATCTTTTAGACAACCTCCATCCCTAAAAATAACCAGTGTTAACACTTTATATAGTTCTCTATGTGTTTAATGTATATATTTCTTAATGTACATCCTCTTAAAAACAAGTGTTCTGCAAGTTTTTCATATTAAAAATATATCAGTCTTTCAAGAAAGTGCTGTCTTTCCATATTTGTGCTTTTTAATTTCCTGAGGAAAAGAGTTTTAGAAGGTATACACACATATATTCATGTATGTATATGCATATGTATACATATAAAATATATTTTGAATACATATTACCAATAAGAAGTTTTACCAGTTTATACTTTTACCAGTATGAGAGCTCTTCTTTATTCATATCTTTTCAAAAACTAGTTGTTATCCTTTTTTTTTTTTAATTTGTGATTCTGGTGGGGGGAAATGGTATCTCATTTGTTTTGCATTTTTTCAATTATTATTGCAAATGGACATTTTTCACATGTATTGACCTTAACATAAATATATTTCTTAACCATGATACTGTATTCTGTGTATCAGTAGTTTTACACATGTATATATGGGAATTAGGGATGGCTAACACTGGGAAAGGAGTGAATATAGTGGAGATAGGGGTTGGGACAGTGGGAAGAAGACATTGGGACAATACTTTGGCTATTTTATATAGCTGCCCCAGAATAGTATAGCTCTTGAGATATATGCTGTTGCTACTTGCTTGCTACTGGGCCCTGAGAGGAGGCAGCAGTATTCCCAAAGGAGATAGGTTCATTCCTGCCTTTGTGAATCCAAACTCAGAATGTTTTTTCCCATTAAAGCTGCTTACCCTTAACATTGGTGGTAGTTTCACAGCAGCACAGCTGAGGATGCATAAACATTCAGGCTTATCCTGCTATATAGGTGAAGAGTTCTTTGTTATCTAGTGCAGGAACATAATCAATAGTTCCCAAACCAGGAATTTACAAATCACCCTTTGAAACCTAAATTGTTATATTATCAAGAACTATGTATGCTATGTGCTCTTGTTTTTTCTCATCCATATTTTCTCAATCCTGGACCAGTTGAGGAGTATAGTTCTCAGGACATTTCTACCCCAGTCTCCTAAAAAACTGAAGTTTGAAATTGAAGCTGAAATAAGCTTTAATCAAATGTGATGACTAATGGCCATCAGTGAAGTCTTACTTTGACATAGCCTCTAAGGCCATATATCTCAGCAGGTTTATATTTATCTGCCATCATAAATGGTTTGATGAATGTTGGGCTAGTGTTTCCTGGGTATAAGAAAAATCAAACCAGAATAGCAAAACCTGGCTAATTGTAGTAGTTTCTTTCTATGGTTTTTTTAATTTTTTAAAATTTACTTTTATCTTTTACTTTTCTTTGACGGCGAGTAGTGGATGTAGTCTCTTTCTAAACTGAGATTTTAGTTGCCTCTGCTTCATTTCAAGTTAATTTTCATTCACCAACATAGTAATGGCCATTATTTTTATAACTATCTTCTAGAGTGTTATTTATGGTGCAAGCCTAAGTTTTTAAATAATACTATAGGCAATATTGTGGTTTTGATTTTTTTAAACATGTGCTTAGAGCTTAGTTTGGGTTCTCTCTCTCCCTCTGCCCCTTTCCCTCTTTCTCTAGGAAGCTGCTTTGAGGCGTGAGCAAAAGAAGTTGGAGAAGAAACAAATGAAAATGAAACAAATCAAAGTGAAAGCCATGTAAAGTCATCCCAGAGATATGAGTTCTGATGCCACCTGTAAGCTGTGAATTCACAGGAAACAAAACACATGTCCATTTCTCACCTTAAATTTCAGACACTTCTAGCAAACTGAGATATCCTTATTTCATCATCCACTCTGCTTTTGGTTTGGAGTTTTATGAGGGTTGTAGATAGATCGAAAGGGCTCTGTTTCAGTAATTTTCTTCCAGATAATCAAATTATTTTGATTATTTTGTAAAAGGAATGATATATGAAATCTGTGTAGTTTTAACATTTTTAAAATTATAACATGAATCATCAGTGCTTTTAGTACTTCAATGTTTGAAGAAATATCATGAAATTTATAGATAGATTGTTGCTTTTTGTTTAAGCATTTGAAGTGGCTATGAAGACTGACTCTAAACCAAGATTCCACAAATAGCTATTGGAATTACACAATAAACATTGCTTGGTGTTTTCTTCTGTGTCTGCATTAAACTTGTGAAGAAGCAAAATTTAGAACACTATATGAAGTAATGAAATTTCAGGGTCTCAAAACAATGCAGCATATGTTTTATAGGTGGGAGGTGCTGATGACAGTATTATAGGAAATCTGTAGGCATTAGATAGAATACTGACATAGATGGAAAATTCTGGGAATAGGTAATACAGGAGCACAGTTCTCCTACCTGATACTATGAGCTAATGACAATGTGAATGCTTTATTTTAAGTGGTTGTATGTTTATTTTTCTCGAGTAACAAATGCATGAAAAATTAATACTTCACCTAGATTAGATCACAGTCAGATTGTTGGTCTGTGTGAAGTCACACATGTTTTCCTTCTTGGTTGCACCTATTAGATGCATGGAGAAGCTCTATTCTCTGTGCTGTGGTTATGTACCTTTGCTTCTCCCTCTGCTTCTCTCTCTTCCATAGTTGAGGCTGGGTATGTTCTTTCAAAGAAATAGCTATGAATATGCATAAGTATACTTTAAAAATGAGCTTTCCTGAACTATTGAGAGTTCTTTCTGCCTCTTAACGGGGAAATTCTGGGAGAGAGGCCCATCTATCTGCACAAGCATTTAGCTTGTTCAGATTTCTGCATTTTATAAATGCTTCCTACTAAGAAAGCATTTTTTAGGTCACTGCTTGTACCAGGTAATTTTGGGTGGGGATGGGAAAAGGTTGGGTTTTTCAGTGGGAGTGGGGTGGGTGGGTATTTTTTGTTGATGCTTTATGTGCAGGTCTGTTCTGAGGCAATAACAATAAGTTGCTGTGAA